TACGCCTTTAGTCCCAGCATTTGGGAGGCAGAGCTAAGTTGATCTCCGAGTTCGAGGCCAGCCTGGGTTACAGAAGATCCAGGACAGGCACCAAAACTACACAGAAAAATCCTGTGGGGGGAGGAGGGGAACGCTCCTAAGGGTTGGAGAGATGGCCCAATGGTTGGGAGCACTGACTGCTCTTCCAGAGGACCTGGGTTCAATTCCCAGCACTAACATGTCAACTAAAATTGTAACTTCAAGATCTGAACCCCCACCAGACATACATGTAAGGCAAAACACCAATGTACATAAAATAACAATACATTTTTAAAAAAAAAAAGGCAGCAAGTGTTCAGGCACCCAAACCCTACTGAAGCCTGCAAAGTAAACAGCCAGTCACAGACTCTAAAGCTAGACTCTAAAGCTAACACTAAGGCCTGGTTAAGGCAGACTGGCAGTTGGGTCTGGCTGACTAGTTATGCCACCTGATGCAAATAAGCCCTCTGGCTTTGACAGTCTAAGATGGTCAAGAAAGCTTTGTTATACTGATACTGTATGCCTTTATTGCACGAACAGACAAGTCAGACTTCATAGTCCATAGATTCCTAAGCTTTGATGGGAACATATAAAACTTTTAACCAAGTAGTAACATGGAAATAGATGGCATTGAGTCATTAAATATGACAAGCAGATTCACAGGTTTGCCATCTTGAGGGGCTAGGGAAGTGGAGAGCTGATGTGGCTCATTTGTGCCTTGTGTAGGTTTGAAAGGTGACATTCTGTTGGTGAGCTATCACATTAGTAGGTGCCTTTGAAGACACACTGCAGGAACTAAGGCTCAAACCAGTTTCCAAAGCATTCACATATCGTACTTCCTTATGAGCCAACCTGGAGCCTCTGTATCAGACACAGCCTGGGTGCTGGGATGAGGTATAAGGCTTTCCCCACTACTCAACGAGTCTGCTGTTTGCCTTTTATGTTGACTCCCCACCTCTGCATCACCCCTGCCCACCCACCCCCACCCCACCCCCGGCCAGCAACAACACATCACTTTGTGTGATGTGTGTGGATGAGTGCATGTACCATGGCGCACATAAGGAGGTGAGAAGACAACTCCAGAGTCAGCTTTCTCCTTGCACCTTTATATAGGTCCCAGGAATCAAATTCAGGCCACCAGGTGTGCAGGGCAAGTGCTTTAGGATTTGCTTTTCAGATCACACCAGTGACATGCAGGAAGTTCATCAAGGGCCAGCAGAAAGTATAATAACAAATACAGAAATAGTTTTAAGAAAGGTGATGGGAGGTAAGAGATACTGTTCTTTTATTCCTGAAGCAAAACCTACTATATTATAGAATTTTCCTGTTTTGAAGACAGCCATGGCTGTCCTGAAAATCACTGTGTAGACCTGGCTGGCCTTGAAAGCAGAGATCTCCTGCCTCTGGCTCCCAAGTACTGGGATTTACCACCACACAGCAAATTTAGCTCTTAAAACCAGCATTTCCCAGTAACATGTTGGGTCCATGAAATATAATCCTGAGGTAGAGAGAAAGATGTGGATATTATTCCCTGGAGGCTTCATCTATAGTTAGGAAACCATCATTGCATTCAGACACCATTTTTTCTTTTAAGGATGAAAACTTCATGGGCACTCAGGCATGGTGGAGAATGCCTTTTAAAATGCCAGCACGGGCTGGGTGGTGATGCATACTTTAATCACAGCACTCAGGAGGCAGAGGCAATCAGATCTCTGTGAGTTTAAGACCACCTTGGTCTACAGAGTGAGTACCACGACAGCCAGGGCTGTTACATAGAGAAACCCTGTCTCAAAACCCCCAAATTCAACACTGGTGTATCCAAGTTCCTACTACATCCAGGGTAACACAGAGAAACTGTCTCAAAAGACACACAAAAAGAAAACCCATGGGCAAGTCAGACCATAAATTAAAATTGACTTCGACTTAGTCAACTCTGAGACTTTGAACAAAGTGTCTAATGCACCTGCAACTTTAAAATTGAGTTGCTTAGTTAGCACTGTTTACCTGTTGCTTCAGGGTTAGATAGCTGCATAAGGTCTATAGTAAGTGGCAGGTCGAAAAGTGGTAAATAAAATAAATATTCCAAGAACAAAAACTAAGTAGTGTAGGCCTAGTCTGTAAAGACATGGCACACTTAAGGTGTGAGCAGCACGGGACATCTCATATGCTGCAGACGCACTCTTCTAGGGTCCACGGCCTAGGAAACTATCACAAACTAGAATCATGAAGTTATCTTTGGAGATACCATGTTTGCACTGTCTGGAATAACCAACACTTGTCCAGGAACATCACAGTAGTTACTGGTACCATGAAGTAAATATACACAACTTAAAAACTGATTCAGTCACACTAACACATTTTGAAATTCATTTGTTCCACCATCACATTTTCTCAAGTCTCAAGAGTTGTAAGCAAGCCAGGCGGTGGTGGGGCACACATTTAATACCACCAGCACTCGGGAGGCAGAGCCAGGTGAATCTCAAGTTCGAGGCCAGCCTGGCCTACAGCGTGAGATCTAGGAAGGCACCAAAACTACAGAGAAACCCTATCTCGGGGGTGGGGTGGGAGTGATGAGCAGGCCAGGTAGTGGTGGCACACACCTTTAGTCCTAGCAGAGTCAGGCAGATCTGAGTTCAAGGCCAACCTGGTCTACAGAGTGACTTCCAGGGCAGCCAAGGCTACACAGAGATACCCTGTCTTGAAAAATCAAGTGATTATTTTCTATACTGTATTAAATATTTACTGACTACAAGGCAGACTAATAAAATGCTTTTACCAGTCTTTAACTGACCTTGTTAAATTTTATTTCTCTATAGTTCGACTACCTAAACAAATACAATTTTTTTTTTTTAAAGAAATCCTAACATTAGGGCCAGAAAGATGGTTCCATGTAGGAAAAAGTGCTTGCAATAAATGCCTGGTAAAACTGAGTTCAATCTGTAGAACTGATGGAGAACTCACTTTAGTAATTCTCCCATGACTGCCAAATACTCAAACATGCCACACTCACCAGTAAACAAAATTCCAAACACAACACTAGTACTTTAAGCATAGCTTGATCTCAGTACTGTTATCAACAGTGGTCTTTTCTATACCATGGCTCACTTAACAATTTCTAATAATTCTCCATTACATCCTTTCTAGTTCACAATCATTTTAACTTATCCAGTTCTCTGTAAAAACTGAAAATGAGACAGAATTGAACACAATCTTAGAACTTTGAGTCTCATGATGTTCTCCAAATGGAAATCTAATGATAACCAACTTTTGAGCATTTTAACTTGACAAATTTCAGTCTTATCATTTCACTGATACCAGTAGTCAAGTATCTATAACCAACAGGTTCCAAAGAATGGTCTCCAAAATATAAAATTATGCATTATCAGCAACTTGATAGCAGCTTAGTGGCAGTGTGCAAGTGGCATGCATGAAGCTCTTGGTTAAAGTCTTAAGCCTTAAGGTGAGAAGAAAAGGTACAAGAAACTCTTTTCTATTTTGCCTAACTTGGTGATACACTTCCATAATCCCTATGTAGCAGGAATCTTAAAAATTATTAATAAAATCAAACCTGAGTCAGGTACTGGCGTGAACACTGAATGATCAGAGAAGCAGAACAAGCCACAGCCACCCCACCTTGCCAATTCCTCAGCTGATCCTGTTTCCTCAAACTGGATGCCTCTCAGCTGAACTGTGCTGCTCAAAAGCCTAAAAGCTTAACCAGCCAAAAGCTTCTAGTTTCCAGTCTTCAAGCCTTACTTAGATACCTTTCTGCATTCTGCCATCACTCCCTGGGATTAAAGGCCTGAGTCACCATGCCTGGTTGTTTCCAGTGTGGCTTTAAACTCAGAGATCCAGATGGATCTCTGCCTCCCAAGTGATAGGATTAAAGGCGTGTGTGCCACCTTTTGTCCAAAGTGCACAGGATGAAAACACAAGCTTGCACTGTCTGTTATAAAGAATGACACATTTTTGGGGAATATAAAGTCTGTGTTCATAAAAGAACCAGATTTTTCATAGCCTTCTATGCAGAAGAATAACAAGGGTAAAAATCACAAATAAAGCCGGGCGGTGGTGGCGCACACCTTTAATTCCAGCACTCGGGAGGCAGAGCCAGGCGGATCTCTGTGAGTTCCAGGCCAGCCTAGGCTACCAAGTGAGTTCCAGGAAAGGCACAAAGCTACACAGAGAAACCCTGTCTCGGAAAAAAAAAAAAAAAAAAAAAAAAAGAAAAAAAAAAATCGCAAATAAACTGGGTGTCAGGACCAAACATGTAACACAAGCCTCAAAGCCTGCTCATACCTTTAGCCTTAGTCTAATCTAGCAAGGGGTAAAAGCTCACATGGATAATTATAACCCTCATTATATTCTCAGTTCTCTGGAAAGCAAATGCTAATATAAAGGAGTGAAGATAAATACTTTCCTATTTTCAGTAACTGAGGCACAGGCCAGGAATCCAATAAAAAATAATCAGGCTTCTAAAAAGTAACTGAAACCACTCCATTTCAAATTATTTAAAATTAACACTCACATGGAAAGGATTTTTATTTGTATATATTGGTATGCATGATTATGATGCCCAAGAAAACTTATTTAATAAAACCTAAGATTTGTGGAGGTCGATAAAAAAAGCAAATAATTTTAATAAAAAAAATCAATTTTTTCCTTCAAATTCCTGGTTTAATAAGGAATTGTTTATTTTGAGAAAAAGATCCCAAACATCAGGCTGTTCACAAAAATAACCCATGGTATTAACTTTAGAAAACAAATATTAAGACTATTACACTATTTTCCTGTAAGATGCATTTGACATGCCAACTCTCATTCACAAAAATACATGGTTACATTCGTGTTGAACAGCCCCACTCATGTGAGGGAAAACACACACCTATAATGCAAAGCTGCTCTCGGGGTTACAAGTAAATGAGATGCCTCTGCAGTTAGGGAAGCAACTACCAAAATCATAGGAATGGGAAGAACTGTACTCCCTGCATAACAAGAGATTATTTTGGAGACAGTTGATAAAAACCATACATCTTTTTATTGTTAAGTCAAAGAGGTATCAAAATTAAAAGCAAAACTTACAAGGTAAGACTTAACAAAACTACTAAGGAGCATCAAAGGAAGTGAAAATGGAACTAGGCGCAGGGCAATTATGAATCAATGAAACAGGAAGGATAAGGAGAGGGTGAACAGTGAGAATGTGCTGAAGTTCTAGGGGAGAGGATCTGCTGTTACTCTGATCTCTCACAAGCGCCTAGGTAAATGAATAATGGGATAAGATTTCTAAATCCACTATGTGCTTAAGAGTCATCCTCTCCATTGGCGCTGTCTCTGTCATCCTCTCCTTCCTCAGCCTCTTTTTCATCATCCTTGATCAACTCCAGCTGTGAGAAACAGACACAAATAAGGTGCAGTTAGAGGTTACTCCTTGTATCCCTGGACCCCGATCCCCCAACTTTCCTTCCTTTCCCAAGGTAATCACCTGGTCATCCCCCCGATCTTCATTGTCATCATCGTCCAGCAGGTCACCCTCCTCAGCAGAGTCATCTGCACCGGCCTCAGACTCCATCTTCACATTAGTCTCATCTTTTTTCACAGAGGCACTGCTCTGCTCTTCTTCTGACTTTTCATTCTTCATCTCTACTGGGGATGAGAAGGACAAGTCTGTCCAGGGGCAAGTGTTGCCCAAAGGATATAGACAACTCTGATTAATCAAAGAACAAAGAGTTTTCCAAACAAATTAATGCCCCTCCCAAACATCCCAATTTGCAACTATTTTAAACTACCTTAAGAATATAACCCAATTTTACTTGAAACAAGCAGTAAGACCATTACCTGCTTGCTTGCTTTGTTCCTTTTCAATTTTTTCCAGGCTTTCCAGCAGAGAATCCACTTTTTGCTTTATCTGAGTCAGCTCCTTCTTGATGGCCTGAAGGTCATCACCTTTCACTGTAACAAATACAATGTTAGACTTGAATAAAACACAATTTACAAGCTGATGAAAATGTTCTTTCTAGGGGCTGGGCATGTGAGTTGATTCTCAGTCCACAGGGGGAAATTGTTCTTTTTGTTGTTGTTGTTTTTGAGACAGGGTTTCTCTGTGTAGCTTTGTGCCTTTCCTGGATCTCGCTTTGCAGACCAGGCTGGCCTCGAACTCACAAAGATCCTCCTGCCTCTGCCTCCCCAGTGCTGGGATTAAAGGAGTGCTCCACCACTGCCCGGCAAATTGTTATTTTAATAGTTATCAAAAAACCAAACCTAAAGGATGGAAGAGGTACCAACTACAACAGTAAGTTACGGAGACCTTTTTCTTTTTTGGTTTTGTGAGACAGCATTTGTGAGTACCCCTGGCTGGACTCCAACTTGGAGATCCACCTGCCTTTGTATCCCAAGTGCTAGGATTAAAGGAATGTGCCATCCCCCCACCCAGCTAAGTAAAGAAGTCTATCTTCAGTTGGTAAATGATTAAAATATGTTATAGTACTACTGTAACATATTCTCCAGTCAAAACCAGGCTGGCCTTGACCTCAGAGATTTATCTGCCCATTCCTCCCCAGTGCTGGGATCAAAGGCACCACCACCACCACCACCACCACCACCACCGGTACCGGTACCGGTACCGGTACTCAATCTGAAATTCTTAATGCTTTCTTTTTTCCTTGTTTTGTGTTCATGGCTAAGTCAGAGGCCAACATCAAGTATCACCTAAAACTGGACTCTATCGTGGAGGTGAAATTTCTTTTTTCTTTTTTTTTTTTCAAGAGGGTTTTTCTCTGTGTATCTTTGAAGCTTCTCCTGGAACTTGCTCTTTAGAGCAGGTTAGCCTTGATAGAACTGGTAGGTCCTCCTGCCTCTGCCTTCTAAGTGCTAGGATTAAAGGCATATGCTACCAGCACCCCTTAGGAGAGAACAACAGGGTCTCACTACGTGCCTGACCCTGCCTCCCTAATGTGGGGACTAAAACTATCATTACAATGGTTCCATAATTATTTGAGAAAAAGATCTCTCAATTAAACTGATTTTGCATGGTTAGGTGGCCTGCAAGTCCAGGGTTGTGCCCCTCTCAGCCACCCCAGAGTTTGAATTGAAGTTAAGTAAGGTACTCTGCTTTCTATGTATGTATACTTGGTATCCAAACTCAGGTCTTCACCCCTGCAGTGCAGTAACTTTAGCAACTGAGCATTTCCCCAATTGAACTATTCAAGTTCACACTCATACATTAGTTATGTCAACTCTAGTAATATCTCTAGTCTAAAAAAAAAAAAGAGGCTGGAAAAATGACAAAGTTTGCTATTCTTGCAAAAGTTCTCCTGGGAGGTCAGTTCCCAGAACCCTTGATAGGTATTCGCACCTACAACTCCAGCTCCATGGGAATCAACACCCTCCATGACCTCAATAACCTCCCCCACATGCACATGTACTTAAAGAAGGTGGGAGGTGGGAGGCATTGCACAAATACGTACCACAATAAAAGCAAAGTAACACTTACACTTTCCAGACTTCGATGAAGATCCCCGTTGTCCACTCTTCGAATTGAATCCACTTTTCCCCCTTCGAGAGGTGTTTCCAGAAACGCGCTGGCGTTTAGAAGGCACCACAGCTCGGGCAATAGGAGGAGGAGGAGGAACACGTGCTGGGTAACTGTACATCCTATTGAATAAAAAGGTTCAGAGTCTTACAATAGAATTATCTGTTTTAGTTATTTCTTGGTATGATTCAAATCCACTCAGCGTCTCCAAGGGGAAACACACCAAATCATGGATTTGACTGGTTTAGAACAATGGTTTATTTTCACTACATGAAACTTTCAACATAATATTACTTATAATGAATTGCTTCTCATCTTAAACAATCCACAAAGTCAAATATAACACTCATAAAGTACTGAAAATTAAGTTTCTGATCACTCAAACAAACAATGCTACTAATTACAAAGTCCTGCAAATACCTACTTGAAAAAAAAACTATCTTAGGACAGGTGAGACAGGAGCACATAAAGGAATTTTCTGCCATTTGATCTTTGGAATTTGGGTGATAGAGAAACCCAAATGTTGTCCTCTGACTTCTATATATACAATGGCACATGAGTCCCCACCAAAATTGTGGAAATAGCTTACTACAATTATTTATTGTGTGCACATAGGTATGAATGCCACACCATACTTGAGGTAGGCTGAGCCAGCTTGGTGAAATCAACACTAGTTGTCTTTGTTGATTTGAAAGCTAAGTGTCATATTACATTCCCCAGCTCCACTATCTTTAACCAATAGTAGTCCCATTTAATTTCAGTATCTTTGGGAAATTTTTACTATAGCTACTTCTTTTGGGTTTTAGGATGCCTGGGAATCCCTGAAACTTGGATCTTAACATTCTCTGAATAATAATTTAAGAAACATACTTAGGGTGGCACATGCCATTAATACTTGCAGAGGCAAGTAGATCTCTAGACTACTAGCCTGGTCTACAAAGTGAGCCCCAGGACAGGAAGCACTACACAGTGAGACCCTGCCTCAAAATACCAAACCAAACAGGTAGTAGTCACAAAAAAAAACTTTTACCCGAGTTTTCCTGAACTCAGACTGAAATTGCTTAATTTCTTATCTATAAATCATGTTTTCATTTTTCTAAATTTACTAGTGCAAATACACTTTTAATATAGTTCTACTCATGTATTATGAGGGAAAAAATTCAGAACATTTCATTAATTATCTCTTGCCGCATAACCTCTTTAGTGCAAACAGAGCAAGGATAAACAAAAATTGTAAGGTCCTTTTCTGCAAAGGTGACAAGAGTGATGTTTTAGAACTAGCGTGTTCTGTAGATTTGCTACACATTAGAAACTGTTCAATAGTCAGGATGTGGTGGCTCACACCTTTAATTCCAGCACTACAACGAAACCAGAGCCACACAAAAAAATCCTGTGGGGAGGGGGAGCAAACAACTAGAAAGAATCCCTTCAAGAAACTTTTTCTTCCATTATTTTGTTGTGGTTTGCTTTTGCTTCTTTCATTCTATGAACTTCAATTGACCATCCTTTGTCAGCTGACTGCTAGGATTCCTTGTGAACCCACCACTGTCATTTCTGCTATTTCATTCCATCCTAGTCATCTCAATGTGAATGACTTATGTTTGAAGTTATTTTCTAAACAATACAGCTAAATAACCACTACTCTAACAATGTTCCTTATACGTAACATAGTAATGAGTTATAGGTATATAAAATAGGGCTGGAATCCTCAGGAGTTTATGCATAGACATCATCTCTTATAATTTCAGCAGCCACAGGGAACTTAGAACCAATCATGAGAAGGTATCTCGAAACAAAAATATTTCAACATGAAATGCTTTGGGAAATATATTATGGTACACATTGTGTGAAGAAAACACAAGCCAAGTGTGGTGATGCAAACTGACATGAGTAGCTAAAATTCTTAGTGCATGGACTCAGTCAACAGCCAAAAAGCCAGTGTTCAACACATGTATTATATATAAAACTGATTAGTTTTGCCTTGAAGTCTTTCAGGGAGACTACTTTTAAAAACATCATTAATGTTAATTGATCACAAACATTTGTTATACAAGCTTTTCATGTTTAACCTTGGAAAACCAAGAAAAGTAGATTCAGATGGAGAGCTGCCAAACAAATCATTTGGCACCATTTATCTTGCATATATAGGGCCTGTCATGTTGAATCTTTGTAGTACTTATGTTTAAATCACTGTTATTTTGCAAGGCTTCTAAAATCCTGGCTGTGTGTATGTATTTTGTTTTGACTTGCTTTATTTGATGTTGGTTTGGGCAGCCTCATGTAGCACAGATCTACCAAAGATCCTCCTTGCCTCAGCCTCCTGAATGCTGGGATTTCAGTTTGCACCAATAGAAAACATTACTAATATAGTTAAAAAACTAAGCAGTGTCTGTTTTCTAACTTGATAAACCTAATTCCAGTAGTTGGGAAGGTGACATGAACAACAAATAACCAAATAACCATCACAAATGAGGCTTTGTGATCCATGTTATGTAAGGCTGCTAATGCAATACTTCCTGTAATAAAATAAACTGAATCTGTCTTTCCTGCTGTGGTATTTATGCACATTGTGCATGATCATCTGATAAATTTCACTCAAGATAGGACACTTATGACTGAATGGAGGGAGAGTACACAAGAACAAGACAAATTTGATATTGTGCATTTTTTTTTTCCTTTTTTGATTTTTCGAGACAGGATTTTTCTCTGTGTAGCTTTGCGCCTTTCCTGGAACTCTGTAGACCAGGCTGGCCTCCAACTCAGAGATCCGATAAGATTATTTTATTAATAAATCTTAAAAGGAAGGCTGAGTCTCTGGTAAAATTTGTCTACCAAATGCAGAACACATCTCAAAAAACAAAACAAGGGCTGGAGAGATGGCTCAATGGTTAAGAGCACTGGCTGTTCTTCCAGAGGTCCTGAGTTCAATTCCTAGCAACCACATGGGGGATCCCAACCATGGAATCTTATGCCTTCTTCTGGCATGCAGGCATTCATGCAAATAGAGTATCATATATATAAAATACATAAATAAATCGTTAAAAATAAGTAAAATGTTTATTTAAAAAAAAACCCAAAAAACAAAACTCCTTAGTGTTTTCTGTTTAGTGCCTATTTCCTCTGCTTCAGGCATCTTAGTATACACCCTATTGATTAAACCTGACTAAAAAATAATTACTTAGTTGTCTATAACTGACTGACTACTCAAATTCACTATTAATTTTTCTCATTTTTTTAAAACAGGGTTTCTCTGTGTATCCCTGGACTGTTCTGGAACGCAGAGATTTGCCTGCCTCCTCCTCTCTATTGTTGGGATTAAAGGCATGGACCACTGGCCATCAGAAATTCACTATTTTCTATTGTTATGAATATATTTTTAGAATCTTGTCAGTTACAGGAATGCTTGCATATAGTACAAGTACTGGGGAGGCCAATCTAGAAGATTGAAAAAAAAAGGGGGGGGGGAGGAAACTTGTGACAATGACTACTTATGAAAAAACTCGGACCATTTGTTATCTTTATTCTTTGCCTTAGTCACAATAGCAGTATGTGAATTCTATTTCAGTAAGTATGAAAATTCTATACTATCTGTCCCTTTTTTTGAATGTGAAAACATTTTATGTACAATAATAAACAGATAGCTTGAACATAAAAACAGGTTATAATTCAAAAGTCCAGGGCTAGTTGGAACTGGGAAATATTTTCCCTGTAGAAAATAGTAAAAATGAGTAAAAAAGCCCTTTTAAGCCAAATAATAGCTCTATTATACATATAAATATTGATTAGGTTCTGGGATACAGAAGAAAGCTATCTGTTCAGAGAGCTATGTTTGACTTAAGTTGTGTAATGGTCACATTATTTACTCAACTACATTGACAATGTACTCAAAATTGCTCTTCTACAAAGAGCTACTAATAAACAAAACATCCTGGAAAGTTGGATAGCTCAGTCAGGTGACTGAATTACAAATCTGAGTGAGGACCTGAACTTGAACCCCAGAATATCCAAAGCAGGTTAGGTATTCTGGCACCTGATTTCAACCCCTAGGATTGGCAGATCCCAAAGCCTTGTTGGTCAGGCAGAAAATTTATCCACAAACAAAAAGAAAAAAAAAAAAAACCATAGATAACATCTGAGGAATATCATGATTTATACAGTCCTCCAAAGATATGTGTGTACTCTTACACATACATATAACCAAGTTTAGTGCAATGTGATAATGCCTGACCCAAGGACTTGAGAAAATCAGGCTTTCAAAGTCATCCTTAGCTCATGACTGAGGTCAGTACAGGTATCATGAAACTGTCCCATAAACAAGTCCCACCCTCCAAATGGAAAATTCATTTAATTCCTCTTTTAAAAGATTAGATAGTAATGATTCAACTTACCACCTAAATGGGAAAACAGAGCTTTCAAGCCTTGTCTCAGAGTCAGAGACATTTTCCTATCTTCTATTTAAATTTATATTTTTCCATCACATCTTTAAATAAATTTACCATGTTTCTATGTTTACTATGTTTACATCAATAATTGTTTATGCACTATGTGTGTGCTTTTCTTTTTTTAAATACACACCCCTCTGCATTATGCAGCTCCATCTTGCCTGAAACACCCAGAGTTCTACCTGCCTCCACTTAATGCCAGGATAATTGGTATGTATACACAACTAGTAGCCTGATAATTTGTCAGCTCTCAAAAATTCATTCAATGCTATCTAACTCTACCCAGTCATTTCTCATTGTTGTCCTACAAAGAGTAATGCTGTTGAATAGTTTAAGTAAGAAATCTTAGGGTTGGGGATTTAGCTTGCTAGGCAAGCGCAAGGCCCTGGGTTCGGTCCTCAGCTCAAAAAAAAAAAAAAAAATCATTTCATCTCCCTGTTTTTTAGTATAGTATAGTATAAGCCACACTTAAAGCCATTTACTATTTCATTACACACTGACTTTCTAAGTCCTATTTTATGAAAAGGTATGTTCAAAGGAGACTATAGGATTTTAAATTTGGTCTCTATTATATTTCTATTATAAGAAAGATATTTTTTAAAATCAATAAAAATGCCATGTTATGGGATTGAAGATGGCTCATGGAATGAATAAGCACTCCCAGAGGGCCCAGGTTCTGATCTCAGTACCAATGCTGGGTACCTCACAGCTGCCTGGGAACAATAGTTCATCTGAAAAGCGCTCTTCCAGGGATTGTAGACATCCAAACACATGGCTCAGACATTCACCCAAATCCATACACATAATGAGTTGAGGTAGGGTTTGTTTTTTTTTTTTTAAGCTGAATTTCCAAGCATCCTACTAGAGGTTTTAATTTTGAGTGGAAAGCATTTGAAATGTCATTAATTATTTAAAAAAAAAAAAAAGAGCCTCACAAGCTTTTTAAAATTAACATCCAAAAAGAATAAAACCCCACACTTACCTGTCATAATAATCCCGTTGAAAGTCATAGTCCAAATCAAATGAGGAACTGAAAAATAAATACCAAAAAAAGATTATTTTGGAGCTGCTGTTGTTACTTCAAAAGGCAGACGGGGTGAAAACAGGCCAAACGAACCACAACAAATAGATCAGTAGTAAGATTAGCAACGAATAATCCCCATTAATTCAAACAAATCATTTGCCCTCCATGTTATCTTAGACCACTGGACATGCAGTGATCAAATTACTAATTCAGGTGAAAATTTCAACAAAATAACTTATGAGCCAAACCAAGAACACTGAAAGAACAATACAATAGTTGTTAAACCACAATCCCCTTTCCCTTCCTTATTCCCCAGCTTCCTAGTACCTAACAAATTCCTCTTGAATTCATGCTATACATTTAAAATTATTCTTAACCAGCCAAAATCTCAGAGCTAGGAAATACGGGCAAAAGGGAATTATGTTAACACAAGTTAATAAGCATTAAACTTTTTGCACATAAAACACATTGCACTAACCCTCCCCACATCCAGAAAACACAGAGAAGATGCCCATTGATGGACACAATGCAGTTATAAATAATAAAGTTCCGGACCTGAGTAGAGGGGACGGAGAAGGGTGTTCTGGTACTGACCCGTACATCTCCGCTGCAGATCGTTTCACACCAGCTTTTCCTCGGTTCACTTTTGGCTCTGCAGCCAGATTAATATCTGGAAAAAAGGACAGACAAAAGGGGGTGGGGGTTTAAAAATAACAAAAACTTCAAGGCAAAGAGATTGAGTTATATCACCCAGCAAAGCAAACAAACCCGTATATTCAGACTGCAGTTATCTAATGTGTAACATTAACTTTCCTTCTCATTTACAAGGTTAAGTTTTTACAGAGCTAGCCTTCCATTTCTGTACTGTTTTGACACAAAAACTGTCCTGACTTAACATTCGTAATGTTTTTGGTAATGTTTTAATTTAAATGTCACAAAAAAAGAACATGTGCATAACTGCAAAGATAAGCATGGCAATTTTAGGATCATACCCTCAAGCCATGTCCAAGAAACCTTTTTGGGGGTTTTTTAGTTTTGGTGTCTGTCCTGGATCTCACTCATAGAGACCTGCCTGGCTCTGCCTCCCAAGTGCTGGGATGGATTAAAGGCATGAGCCACCACTGCCCAGCCCAAAGAACATTTCTTATTGCCATTACTAGCAGCTAAACTCCACACAAAAAAATACCCTAGTAAACTAATATTCAGAGAACGAATAAACAACTTCTAGACATACACACCTATAAAAATAAACAACACCTGAATTTCAAAGAATACAGAGCTACCAAGACTGCACAATGGGTAAAGCACCTGTCTCCTAGTCTGGCAACCTTAGCTCCATGCCCACTACTCACATTGGAGGAGGGAAAATCCTAAGGTAGGACATGTACATGTGTTTACAAAATGTAAACAATTTTCCTCCAAATTCATGGACACAGGATTATTGGGACAGGAGTGAACAAGTGTAATGACTAAAACTGGTTCCCAGAACCCAGATAATAGAGGATTCTAGCAAATTGTCCTCTGGCGATTCCCAAAATACCCACACAAAAAATGAATCTTTTAAAATACAACCTAGTTTTTAGGGACTAATCGAAAGATTTACTTTGTCACTCACTGTTTATAAAGATTTTCTCACTAGTTCTAACAAATTAAGCCTAAACAGGGGATGGACACACATAATGAAGAAACCCTAGACCAAAGCTCGCTAGAACAAGTTTCACAAGTGATAATTTCAGATGAGCACCAGTAGATGCACTGTCATTAAATTCTTAGTGGAACTCATTTACATAACCTTGCTTTCCTAGTCTTTAATACCAAGCCATACATGTTCATTTATTTTTATAAAAGTAATCCATTATATATAGTAAAATGTAAAAAGAACCAAACTATTATCAAGTTGATTATAACAAAGAATTCCTTCAGGTAACATCACTATATTTATTCAACATTCCCAATGGAATGCAAAGAAATAATTTTAAATCCTCAAATACAATGTTGAATTTAGTTATTTTCCTTAGTGGCACTGAGAAACTGGAACATATCAAGCAAAAAAGAAATGCAATTATATCCTAATTAGCATAGTAGTAGTAGATGTCAGTGCAATTTCAAACAGTGTTTTAGCAGTTTTCAAAATCTGCAGTTTGTACATCCTCCCTGCCTAATTGAGCACCTCTTTTTACCCTCTTGGTCTTCTTCCTTTCTGGCTCTTTACCCACAATATACCTATTTATATACAAAGGTGTGTACATTACAAGGAAGGTTCTACATAGGAAAGAACACTTTGTCTTTTCACTTCAGTACTTCTTTACCCATTTTCCTACAATTTTTAATTTGTGTCTCTTCCTTTTTTATATGTGCACTGGTTACAGACAATTGTGAGCTGCCATGTGAGTGCCAGGAATGATCTTAGGTCTTCTGGAAGAAGAGCCAGGGCTCTTAACCTACTGGCCATCTATCCAGCCCATTTGTTTTTCTTTATAGCTGAATAAATTTTCACTGTGTATGTATATACACCACATAATTATGAAAATTTCTAGGCTGGTTCCATTTCTTTGCTACTGCGAGTACAGCAGTAATAAAGATAAACACAATTATCTGCAGTAGGAGATGGAACACTCCGGTTCTAAGCCTAACAATAGTACAGCTTGCACTTGTCTGTGGTAATTTTTGTGAAAACCTCCAGCAATGTCCTTAGCTGCTCCCTATCAGCAGTGGGTAACGGTTCCATCCTTGCAAATTGGTCAGCATTTTAACTTCAGTTTCGAGTAATTAAAGATAAAACAAACTTACTTTTCCTTAAAAAGTGTAAAAAAAATAAAAATAAAAATACAGCCCACAGCACATTTCTAGTAAGCAGCACTAAACAAGATCTGCCAAAATTACAAAAGGACAAAAAGGACCACTCTAAATGACTAAAGAAACAAGCCACTACAAAGTAGAAAATTTAAAAGCTTCAACAAAGTGTAATAAATTTTATCATTTTAATGTGTGCAAAGAAATGTACAATCGTCAGGCAGTAGTGGCACACTCCTTCAATCCCAGCACTCAAGAGGTCAAGACTGATCTCTCCAAGTTCAAGGCCAGCCTGGTCTACATAAAGAGTTCCAGGAGAGGCTCCAAAGCTACACAGAGAAACCCTATCTCAAAGAAACCAAAAAAAAAAAAAAAAAAAGAAAAGAAAAAGAAAAAGAGAAAAAAGAAAAATGAAGTGGAATATGTATGTACAAATATACCATAATGAAACCCAACACTTTGTATACTTGCCTTAAAAAAAGAAAAAGTAAAACAAAACAATTCAAGCTTGAAATTTATAAACTATAAAACTCACCTAAAACCTGGCCAGCAATCATTCTGCCATCCTCTCCAGCTACAGCAGCTCGGGCATTTCTTTCATTAACATATTGGACGAAGGCAAAGCCCTTATGCACAGAGCAACCCACAATTTTGCCATACTTTGAAAAGATTGCCTCCACATCAGACTTCTTGACCACAAGTGTATTGAGATTCCCAATGAATACACGGGAATTCATGGATCGAGGGTCTGTTTTGTTGGTAACATTGCTAGCCATCTCCTTTGATTACAAGGTCTCTCACAAAGCTGAAAATTGGAACAAAAGAGAAGCATTCAGGTTAACAGATATACATTATATTAATATAATACTCATTTTATCCCTCTCATATACTGGCAACACAATCTTCCTTTATAATAATTCCAAGTAAGTGATCCTTCTGAAAGTTGAAGTCCTTGAGCAAATTATAACTCCCTAAAATCTTCACTATCAGTTTTTGGCCTTTTCTGCATTCCTGGTTGTTAGAATCCTACAATTAACTCTAACATATTGTTGCAGTTCTCTCAAAACAGACCAACTTCAAATATCTTTCAAGTAAAGATATTTAATCTTTATCTTTCCAGTATACTTATACAAAGGCAAATGTTTCTAACTGGTCAAATATTCACTCAGATTTGATTTAGCATATGCTACAAAGCCATCTTTTCATAAGGTACAATTACTCTAAAACCACTTTTTATACCTAGAATATTAATATTGGATGGTGATGATGATAAAACTAGCCAGTGTAAGACACAGAACAAATAAGAAAATGCAACATTCAGGTTTTTTTTTTTTTTTTTTTTTTTTTTTTTCAGACAGATCTACTCTAGCAAAGATGGCCTGAATACTGGAATTCTGAATACTTCAGAATCCTGGAATTTTATGTTTGAGTCACCACACATCTCTGGTTCTAGTCTATTAAGAGTATTTGTTAAAAACCAAACTCTTAAAATGATAATGGAGTCAGTCTTACAAAAAGAAAAATACCCACTGACGCCCTTTTTAATTCTATTTCACAATCCTTTGTTTGCTGCCTGTTACCAATGTAAATCCTAACATCAGAGTTCAAATAATTTATAGGGCCCCCATCCTTTTGAAAATAACTAAAAAATATTTAAGCTGGGCCTAGTATTTTTCATCCTTCCTATCCTCAAGTGAACCATGACAAACTAATTCTCAGCAGATGTTTTTCTGTAATACAAAAAACAGGTAAGTCTCCTGTTATTTAAATTTTTACTGAAGAGTTCAATAGTTTTAGAGCAGTCAAAAGATTTCAGGCCCCATTACAGCATGTGCACATGTGTGTGCAAGGTTGCTCACATGTAGAAGTCAAAGGACAACTCTCAAGAATCCGTTCTCTCCACCATATGGTGAGGAATCAAACTGAAGTGTCAGTCTTGGCAGAAACCATCTTGTTTCCCCCTACACTTTACTTAGTTTAGTATAAGGTAAATAAATGACAGGCCAAATTTATTAAGGAATATGATCCATATCCTATGATGCATACAAAATAAATAAGGTCTCAGTATTAGGCAGTCATCACCACCACCAATAGTGAGAATGGTAAGTAGAGCCAAATTACTGAATAGAAGAGGTGTAAAAGGAAGCAACTAAAACATTCTTAAGGAAGCAACTAAAACATTCTTAAGAAGTAACTCATCTAAACATTGTCCCTAGGCAATTTATGTCTAGTAAAATGCTTGGTATGTCCTATAAAGTTCTCTCATGCACCCACCAATCCCTTCTTTGACAATCAATTTCATGGTCCTGTCTCCCTGAGTACTAAACTAAGTCTATGGAAGTGCCATCTTTGCTAATGATAAATCCTCTATTGACCTGTTCAAGGACCTAGGTTATTTTACCCCTAATTTCCAAAAGTAACCAAGGTTCATCCTTAAAATGAGGGGGTAAAAAAAAAAAAAAAAAAAACTAGAGGTGGGCTGTAGTTGCACATACCTTTAATCCCAGCACTTGAGAGAAAAGGGCAAGAAGATCTCTGAGTTTTGAGGCTAGCCTGGTCTACAGAGTGAGTTCCAGGACAGCCAGAGCTACACTGAGAAACCCTATCCTGAACCCCCATTCCCAATTCAAACTTAAAAAGGGCTCAGTGGTAGAGGACTCCTGTAGCATGCTGAAGTTCCTGATCCCTTAGCATTTAAATGTATTACTCAGTCTGCCACCTAAAATTTTCTCTTTTTTAGTATCACTCATACAACACTCCAACCATGGCAGTCTTTAAAAAATTACAGGAAAAAAAAATGATGTTAAGAATGGTGATATTGCCAGGGAGTGGTGGCACATGCCTTTAATTCCAGCACTAGCGAGGCAGAGGCAAGCAGATCTCTTGAGTTCAAGGCCAGCCTGGTCTACAGAGAGAGATCCAGGACAGGCACCAAAACAGAGAAACCCTGTCTCAAAAAAAGAAAAACAAAAACAAAAACCCAAAAAAACAAAAAACAAAAGGGTGGCATCACCAGGAAGGGTAGAGGCAGAGACAGTTGGTTCTGAGTCTCAGGCCAGCTTGGACTACATAGTGAGTGCCAGGACAGCCAGGGCTATGTACAAGACTATCTCAAAATAACAGCATCAATAGATAAAATTAAGCCAGGCAATGGAGCACACCTTTAATCCCAGTACTCAGGAGGCAGAGGCAGGCAGATCTTGAGTTCCAGGACAAGGCAGATGGATCTCTGTGAGTTGGAACAGCTAGACCCGAAACCCTGTCTCAACCCTCACCACCCAAAAAAAGAAAATTAAAATGTCGGAACTTGTTTTAAAGCAATATGTAACTATGTGCTGGAGATGTAAGCAATGGAAGACATCCCTAGCAAAATCAAAGCTCTTGGTTTACTTTACTGCTCAGCAGTAAAGATCCACCAATACAAAAAAAGTTAACAAGATATACATGAGGCTCACAAAAATTATGCACCTGGTGACAATAGAGTTCAGTGAAATATTTGCCATGGAAGCCACCAGAACCCATCAAGACTATCTCGAGTTCAACCTCCACTCCAATATTCGCATTAATTAAAAAAAAAAAAAAAGATGCCAGGCAGTGGTGGTAAATGCCTTTAATCCCAGAAAGGTCTTGTCTTCAGAACTCAATTCTGATTAATCTTTAAATCATAAAAAAAAAAAAAAAATTAACTCAAGCCTGAGGGTATGTCTCATGTATATTTAAGGGTGTTTAAAGACCTGAACTGGAGTTTGAAGACAAGTGTGAGCTTCCATGTAGGTGCTAGGACTTGAACCCAGAACCTCTGGAAGAGAAAGCTAAAGTTCCTAAATCTGAAACCTTGCTGGCACTACCTCCATCCCCAGGAAATAGTGCTAAGTTGACAACTCAAGCTCTTCTGAGGGAATCAAACAGAGTTACTGCCAGAGTTTGATGTTAGCCTGGGCTACAGAGTGATTTCCAGTGAAAAGTGGAAAAGAGACACTGTCTTAAAGATAAGGGATCAAGAGAAATCACCTTCAACGTTAGGTAAGTCTTGACCCAAACCTCAATGCCTTAGGTTTGAAGTCCAGTTTTCAAGTATTTAAGTTCTTAATAACATATTAGGAAATAGCAATAAATAGATAGATAAAATGAAATTTAAGAGACTTAACAGGTTCCAGTGTCACTCAAGAATGTTTCCCTGGGCATAAAGTGTTGTTGGTACAAGCCTTTATACCAACACTCGGGAGGCAAAGGGTGGTACACAAGTGTTCCAAGTCAGCATGAAAGTGTTTTCAGCTTACTTATGTAGCAATAAAGTATAAAAAGGCATTTTCTTCTGGACATTTGATAGTCTTCCTTTTGATCACATAGGCTAATCACAGTATATATTAATTAGGGGTAGAGATCAATCATATTACTTAAAACTTAAAACTAGCCTACATTCAAATCAGCCTGCATTCAAATCAAATGGAACTCCTTTACTATCTAATGTACTCTCTGTATATATACTTAAGACAGTATCTTTACTATGCAACACTAGCTGCCATGTAATTCTCTATACAGGGCAGTTTTGGCCTCAAAAACCTCAAACATATAAGTAAAATTCTTCTTTCTTTGGACTATATTTTTAACATTTGTTTTTATTAATGTGTATGATTGCCTGCATGTATGTATGTTCACCTTTGTGCCTGAGGTCAGGCTGCATCCAATTTGCCTGGAACTGGCCTTACATACATGGGTACTAGGAATCAAACCTGGATCTTCTGTAAACCTCCCTCCCGCACTCCTGAAGCTATTTAACCAGCACTTACTAAGTGACACTGGATGGCATCAATGAGTCAAATTTTATGCAAGTTTTTATTCTTCCACAAACTCTTGTTTTCCAATACTCTTGAATGTATACTGGCAGCATCATAATCTGATTTAATGTTTCACCTATTTTGCTATGTCCTTTTTCCTTTGAAGACCCTTCCCATTTATCTTACATTACTGTTTTCTTTGAATTTTACTCCCTATGCAACTTTTTTCTATCATTACTGTCTGCTTCTGCTCTTCTCAGAGGTTAATAATGAGCTGCCTTGTATGCTGTGAGTCAGGTTTTGTTTTTTGGTACTAAGACGGGGATTAGCTGTGTAGGTCTAGCGGTCCTGGAACTCACTCTGTAGACCAGACTTGCCTTGTACTCAAGAGATCTTACTGCCTCTGCCTCAAGTGCTGAGATTAAAGGTGTATGCCACCACTGCCCAGCTTAAGAGCCAATTTAATTTAATTACAAGCCTCATTTTTATTGGCCCGTGTGAACACACACCTTTAATGTCAGAGGTGAGATATCCTCAGGCCTATCGAGGTCATATGACAGAGGGAGAAAGAGAGAAAGAGAAAGAAAGCAAATAGTTAATAGTCACCTTTAAAAACCTCGGTGGTGGTGGTGGTGGTGGTGGTGGTGGTGGTGGTGGTGGTGGTGGTGGTGGTACACTTAAACCTAGCACTCAGGAGAGGCAGAGTCAGAAAGACCCTAGAACTCTTGAGTTACATGCCAGCATAGTCTACAGTTCCAGGGCAGCTAGAGCTACATAGAGAAACCCTGTCTCAAATACAGATTTCAGGTGGTGGTGGCAAACGCCTTTAATCCCAGCACTCAGGAGGCAGAGCCAGGCGGATCTTTGTGAGTTCGAAGCCAGCCTGGGCTACCAAGTGAGTTCCAGGAAAGGCGCAAAGCTTCACAGAGAAACTCTGTCTCGAAAGAAAAAAAAAAAAAAAATCAAATACAGATTTCCCAGAACCCACAAAGCTGCAGAGGTATAGTCAATCCAGTATTCAGAAGGCAGAGACAGATTGCCCAGGGGGGTGTGGCTAGCTAGACTAGCTGCATTTTTGTAAGATCTAGCTTGGCCCTGAGTCAGTAAGTAAAATTTTAAAACAATTAAGGCAAATGATGTCAATTTGCCTCTACACATATGTACATGTACTCACACATGAACATACACAACTAATTTTCTTCAGCTGGGGACATGGACATAGGTGCTTGTAGAGGCTTGCCTAGCAGACACAAATCCCTTGGACCACCCCCAATATTTCATAAACTGGGCATGTTGCATGACTACTGTTTCAGCATTCCAAAGACAAGGCTGAATGATCAGAAATTTAAGGTTCTCCTTAGCTCTGTGTAACTGACAAAGCTACAAAACAGTCCAGAGAAGAAATACAGGTTTAGGAGCTGGAGATAGAGTATGCAGTGTGTATACTGCTTTTCCAGATGACTCCAGCTCCAGGGAACCAACAATTTTATGGCCTAAGCAGGAACCTATT